GAACTGACTGAATATGGAGATCATTCATTTATGTTTTATTCCTTATTATTAGCCATGTTCTGCATGTAACTCGAAAGTTATGAGCATTATTATTAATGGCTTTATTCAGCATGACCCTTTGTGAGTGTCTGAAATCAAACTAAGATTTGTTTAGCCCCCCACCTACTTCGTTTTAAAAAAGCTCTCTAGGTAGTTTTACTTTGTGACCAAGATTATTCTGATCTTTAATGACAGAGTAGATTTTATAAGTATATAAATACAATGAATATACTGTCCAATTTACTGGTATTTACAGGATGATAGGAAAGACATAATTAGTGAATTACTTAGACTAAACATTTTAAAGACAACTGCTATTAATATGAAGTAAAAGTCGCTTTCAGAGTGAATAATTAGAGATAACAAAACACAGTGTTTGTGAAGCATAAAGACACTGAGAATATGGTACAATGACACGATTGGGTGATTCTCAAAACCAGAAATATAATATCTTTACTACGAAACGTACATCAAGCTGTTTATATATTTAATTTCAGCTTGATGTTTCATATTATTTTTGTGTGCAGTATAAACTAATGGTCATTGTTAATAATCAAGATTGCAGTGATTTTAATGCCTGTACAATACGTTTAATTCCTGGAGGAGAAGAAAATATAATTAAGTTATGGTAATGTTAATACTGATCAACCAGTCGGTAGTTTTATCATTATCAATATCAAACCTATCGGAATCTGTCAAATGCTTTTTTAAATGAAACAATAGGAAAGGCATAAGTAGATTCAAACATCTACTTTAAGACAATTCAAAATAAACTGTAGAGTATTTAATGATTCTAGTCTAGTTACAAAGTGTTTGTTACATTCGGTCGTCTCAATTGTTGTGCCGAAAAAAAAATGCTGATCACTTATACTTGGAACGAGGGACCTCGACAATTCCCACGATGCGAAAGTAAGAACACAAAGACTGGTATAAGTGAAGATTTATTAGCCCAAACACCATGACATAGACGAATCGAATATAGTCTAAAATACACTGGTTCAAATATTGATTGTACACTCATTTCGATTAATAATTAGGATTAGATCACATACTCAGTTATAACAAATCACTTACTGAGCATAGTTTATGTCAAGTGAATGCAAGAATATCGTATATTATACAGAAGAAAATATCATACTGGAAAAACAATCAAATACTACACTGAATGATTCTAATGTTGAATCAAAACGGATGTTGAATGTTGAACAAAACTCATAATGAGTAATTCAATCGAAAATTGACTTTTCTTTCCGTCATGCCAAGTAATAATTAATCTACTGGGTATAACTTGAGTCCTAACAGTTTTTAATAAACTTATACAATCAAAAATGAGAAAATAAAATATTTTAGTCACTGTTCAGTTTGAAAATCAAAACAAAATGAGTATTACCGAGTTTACTGTTATGTAATAGAACTAAGACTGAAGTTATTAAATTGTTTAAATATCGCCATCATACTAAAAGACTAATATTTGAACAAAGAATATACTTTACGATAAATTCTCTTTAGGTTCTACAATTATATATTCAAATTACTAATCTCAATACATGATTCATTTACTTCTCATTCAATTCACCTTATTATGTCTTACCATATTCTTTCACTAAATATTTGATGGAATTGTAATTGCACTATCATTTCTCTCATCCTATCTTACTTACTTACTTGCTTACGCCTGTTACTCCCAATGGAGCATAGGCCATCGACCAGCATTCTCCAACCCACTCTGTCCTGGGCCTCCTTTTCTAATTCCAACCAATTCTTGTTCATTTTTTCTCATGTCTATCTCCGTTTCCCGGCGTAATGTGTTCTTTGGTCTTCCTCTTCTCCTTTGGCCTTGAGGATTCCATGTGAGGGCTTGTCTTGTGACACAGTTGGGTGCTTTCCTCAATGTGTGTCCTATCCACTTCCAGCGCTTCTTCTTGATTTCTTCCTCCGCTGGGTTCTAGTTTTTTCTCTCCCACAGTTGGTTGTTGCTAATAGTTTCCGGCCAACAGATCCGAAGTAATTAGCGTAGACAACTGTTAATAAACACTTGTATCTTCTGGATGATGGCTTTCGTAGTTCTCCAGGTTTCTGCCCCATACAGTAGAACTGTCTTGACATTTGTATTGAAAATCCTGACCTTGGTGTTGGTTGACAGTTGCTTTGAGTTCCAGATGTTCCTCAGTTGTAAATATGCTGCTCTTGCTTTGCCGATCCGCGCCTTCACATATGCATCAGATCCACAGTGTTTATCAGTGATGCTGCCCAGATATGTAAAGGTTGTTACATCTTCCAAATCGTCTCCGTCAATTGTGATTGGATTGGTGCATACTGTGTTGTATCGGAGAATCTTTCTTTTCCCTTTGTGTATATTGAGACCTACTGCTGCTGAGGCTGCTGCTACACTGGTCGTCTTCTCCTGCATTTGTTGTTGCGTTTGCGATAGAAGAGCCAGATCATCTGCGAAGTCTAGATCGTCCAACTGCATCCTAGATGTCCACTGTATCCCGTGCTTTCCTTCAGATGTTGACGTCTTCATGATCCAGTCGATCACCAGGAGAAAGAGAAAGGGTGAGAGTAAGCAACCTTGCCTGACACCGGTTTTCACTTCGAACGAGTTTGCCAATTGTCCTCCATGCACGATTTTGCAGTTTAATCCATCATATGAACTCTGTATGATATTGACTATCTTCCGAGGCACGCCGTAGTGTCGAAAAAGCTTCCATAGTGTTGCTCTGTCCACGCTGTCAAATCCTTTTTCGTAGTCAATGAAGTTGATGTAGAATGATGAATTCCATTCAATTGATTGTTCCACAATTATCCATGGAGTTGCGATTTGGTCTGTACACGATCTATCCTTACGGAATCCTGCCTGTTGGTCACGAAGTTGGGCGTCTACGCAGTCCTTCATTCTGTTTAACAATACCCTGTCGAAGGCTTTTCCCGGTATTGAGAGAAGAGTGATGCCCCTGTAGTTACCACAGTTGCTGACATCGCCTTCCTTTGGTATCTAGATCAGGTGTCCTTTCCAGTTTGTTGGTACTTGTTCTTCATTCCAAATCTTGCTGATGAGAATGTGGTGTATCTTTGCAGTTACTGCTACATCTGGTTTCAGTGCCTCTTCTGGAATGTTATCTGGTTCTGCTGCTTTGTCACTCTTGATTTGTCTGATGTCCATGCTGATTTCTTCAATTGTTGGTGGGCCAACATCGATTGGGAGGTTCATGGGTTCTGCTTCGATATTGGATGGGTTCAGTTGGGCTAGTCGATTCAAAAGTTCTTTGAAGTATTCTACTCACCTGTTTCGCTGTTCTTCAGTGTTGGTGATTACCTCGCCTTCCTTGCTTTTCACTGGTCGCTCCGGTTTACGGTGATTTCCAGAGAGTTTCTTTGTCGTGTCATACAGTTGTCTCATGTTTCCTTCTCTTGCAGCCTTTTCCGCCGTCGTTGCTAAATTTTTCACATATTTACGTTTGTCAGTTCTGATGCTCCTCCTCACTTGCTTGTTTACCTCTGTGTATTCAGCTTGTGCCCTGGCTTTTTCCGCTCTTGTTCGGCTGGTATTGATCGCTGCCTTCTTGTTCCTCCTTTCTTGAATCTTATCCAGTATATCAACAGTGATCCATTCCTTGTGGTGGTGCTTCTTGTGACCCAGGACCTCATGACATGTTGAAGTGATTGCCTCTTTGATCCCCTTCCAGTTGCTCTCCTCAGTAGTTCCTTCTCCATTGAGTAGATCATGAAAGGCCTGGAACTTATTGCTGAGGACTATCTTGAATTTGTTGAGTTTGGTAGTATCCTGAAGAAAGGCCGTACTGAACTTTTGTGATATTGTCCGCCCCGTTGTCCAGTGCTTCTTGAGTTTCAATTTCATCTTGGCGACCAGCAAGTGATCTGAGGCTATATCAGCTCCTCTCTTGGTTCTCACGTCTTCCATCGTCCTCCTGAACGTTTTGTTGATGCTGATATGGTCGATTTGGTTTTGCGTGGTGTGATCCGGTGAAGTCCATGTGGTTTTGTGTATGCGTTTATGTGGGAATATGGTGCCGCCTATGATCAGTTTATTGAAGGCACATAGATTTGCAAATCCCTCACCATTTTCGTTTCTTTCTCCTAGTCCATGTCGTCCCATGATGTCTTTATATCCAGTGTTGTCCGTTCCAACCTTGACATTGAAATCTCCCATCAGAATGGTCAGGTCCTTTGTTGTGCACTTCTCGACGATTAACTGCAGCCTATCGTGGAATTGATCTTTAGCGTCTTCATTGTAGTCGTTGGTAGGCGCATAGCATTGGATGGCGCTCATTGAAATGCCCTCTTTCTTTGTTTTAAACGAGGCTTTGATGATCCTTGGTCCATGAGATTCCCATCCTATGATTGTCTTTTGTGTTTGTTTGGACAGTATCAATGCAACTCCTTGTGTATGTGGGGCATTTTCTTCTTCACGGCCGGAGTATAACAGAAGCTCTCCTGAAGCTAGTCGTTGTTGTCCAGCTTGTGTCCAATGTGTTTCACTGATTTCAAGCACCTCTAGGTTGTATCTCTTCATTTCTGCAGCAATTCGAAAGGCTCTCCCGGTGTCCCACATCCTCTCTGACTCATATTTATTCTGATTATGGATCTTAAATTTTCACTTAACAAATAATCTGATTTAAATCAACACTATGTAAGTCATATAAATGTAAACAATTTCATTCTATTTTGTTTGACAGTCCTGAACTTGCACACTTTAAACGATATACTTTGCCCTTGACCTGTTCATTTTTCGGATTATTAATTCGGATATATGATTTGTAGAACTTGAAGAGAATTTATCGAAAAGAATATTCTATGTTTAAATATTAGTCTTTATTAAATTGTACCTTGAGATTGCCTGCAAATGAGATTATTCTACGGTTTCTGAAAGTATATATGGCATGATTTTGAATCTGTCTAGAGTGAGTCACTGATTACCGTTGTTTATATTTATATTTCAGTTTTACGTGTTTATATTTACAAAGAATCCGTGGAACCTAATGGTCAACGCCACTACTTAGCTTATATCTATCAAGTATACAAGGTGAGTTAATTGAGTGTATGAAATATTTACTGTCATGATATTATGTATTTGGATAGTGTTACAGTTTGTTATTACTTTAATTTAAATAAAACGCTTGAAACTTAAGCTATGCGTCATATTCAAGTGAATCACAAGGTGATATTTTCACTTTTAAAAAATTCCACTCACCTTGTACATTACAAAAATGAATATCCTGATTAGCTTTTCACCTACTTGATTATAGCACGTTCCCGATTGATAAAGATGCCCCAAAAATATCGACTGTAAAAAGTAGTATTTTGAAGGAAATCCAAAAATTCCTTAATAAATTTTCGTGTAATTATTATGCAAATCACTTTTCAGGATGATTCATATCTCAAAAAATTAGTTTAGTAGACTTGAGTTTATCTTAAAATACAACCGTTGATAAAAGTGGATTGAAAACACTGTCTATTTAAATAGTTCGCGAGATATTTATATATATCAACAATAATTCCCTACACATTCTAAACAGCTGTTATGCTTGGTTGACGATTCCCTTATCATAGTAATTTTTGCGCTTATTTCAGTCACAAACCCATATAAATATCGTTAGTTGACGGTCGGATAGTTTGTTTAAGTTCTTTCGCAGATACTAACTACACTGAATTACTTTGATAAACTCGAATGAAATGAATGATTTTTGTGTCGTATTGATTGTTGGTCTGTTGTTAATGGTTTCATACTTAATCCATCTAAATGTCAAGCCGTTAACTTTAGCATGAGACATGAACGGCATCTAAACACCACTCTGAGATCCCATAATGCTTGTGCCATTGGAGACTCCTTGATAAACACAATGTCGAAGTTTAATCATCTTTGTGTTGCCTTTTCCCCTGATCTCTCCTGGTCTTCTCACGTTTTACTATTATCGAAGAAAGTTTTCCGTCTGACTCACTACATAAAGAAATTGTATGCTCTTGGGATTACTCGTCATTTACTCTTACAATTTGTCAATTCTTGCATATTACCTATTATTCTTTACTGTTCTCCATTATTCTTTCCCGGGCTTTCGAGAAAAGACTTTGCTGTGTTGCGGAGAGTGCTGAAGACAGTTAGCAAGGTGTATGGTGAATCTTTCGAGGTCATAATTAATATGGTTGTGGATAGACACTTAAAATCATGAAAAATCCCGGCAGGTGTTATTTTATCTGATACTAACCATCCCCTTCACTCTTATCTTTCTCCTTGTATATCTTCTGGTAGAACGAGACGTAATTACATTAAAATCCAAGCACGCAAGTAAAAGTATAAAATTTCTATAATACCTTACCTAGCAAATATACTCTGTGGCGAACAAGTTTTTAGAGTTAACCTATTCAATAACCTGCATTCTTAACATGTCTATAATTTGGGATGTTGTATAGTTTTTTAGATTTTTTTGTGACCTTTTTCAACTTTCTTTTTTGTTTTTGTTCCTGTTTTTTGTAAAAGAAACTTGTTGAAATATGTTGTGCTGAGAATTCTATATTGTAACAAAATATAATGTTGAAAAAGCCATTAACAACAAAAAAGTCTATGATTCTTTGGAGGATATTTAAATTACATTATTAATTGAATTTTGATTGGGATGCTCTAACAGACATTGAACATGTGTTTTTAATAGGTTTCGTTAACCCGTAGTAGTTTTTTTCTTCTAATTTAGTGAATACAATACATCTTACAAAAAGTCAGCATTTTAATTTCAGATCATTAAATAATTTCAATGGTCCTAGAAGCACTAGGCGGCCGTTTCGTACTATTGTGGGACTCCTGAGTTGTGAGATAGTAACTCACTGAGGACAATGGCGGATGTGTCGCTCAATTTCGTGAATTAGTTGAAGTTAGACATTAACACCGTTGGATGCTGGCTCAGTGGTCTAGTGGTTAAGTGATCGCGCGCGAAACCAGTAAGTCCTGGGTTCGAATCTCACGGAGGACGAGGTCGTGGATGAGCACTGCTGAGGGGTCCCACAATGGAACGAAACGGCCGTCCAATGCTTCCATGTTTTCCATGGTGGTTTAGCTTCAACTGACTCACGATCTTAACCATTGAAATTATTAAATAATTGTTATCGTGGTCCTTTAAGGGCGATATTTAGATCCCTAGATTAGATATTAAAACATTGGTTTGCATGATAACTATCTATGCTGATTCAAGCTTGTACCTATTTTCACACAAATTGCATTTGACCTTCTGCTAGACTACAGTGTAATTTTGCTTTAGCTTTCCTTACCTTTGACTAGCATTAGAGCCCAGGCGAAATGTTTCATCCTATTTATGACTTGTCAACAGGATTTAATTGCACTCTAATTTACATGTTCTTTTCCAGACATGAACATAATAATGTTTGTTTCAAATGGTCGGTGAGTTATAAATTAAGCTTCTGAGTCCAGATACGCCCTGGCTAGTGCAACAGATATGAACGTTCTATCAATTAGCAAGTGTTTAAATCTTCTCACGGCTAATATTAGGGATTGACTTTCGATCAATCTCTTGTGGAATAGAATCATCTTGGGCAGATCAACTCGATAATGTCATTTGGTCATATTTTTAAGTAAAACATGAATAGTGCATAGCCTAATGTATAATGTATTGAGTATTTACAATGAAACATACTAGGTTTTAGAATTAGTGTGAACATTAACCTCGAGTGCGGACAGAACCTTCTGACGAGTCGCGATTAAGATGAAACAAGAGTCCATATTTATTTAATAGCTTATGATTTATTGATATCCAGATGTTCATTCAAAATAAACACAATCCACATGAGACCTGATAAAAAAATTCAAACCTTAACATCAACAACGAGGAGGTCCGAACACAAATAAATAGAAGATTAATTTACGATTAAACGAAAGCCAGATTTAACTAGTCTTTATTACGTCAGCTCTACGTAACTTTTGTCTGAACCAAGTCTTAAAAGAATACTGTTTATTGTTTTTCCACCACCATTCGATATTCTTTGAACTAATTTTTTTCTTAATAACTACTTTTTATCGTGTTAATTTTAACGCTAAGTTGAATAAATCTTTGTTCATAAGAATAATAAAAAACCATCTGTTAGCTACTAATGTCTTTGATTAGACCGATATACAGAAATAAATAATCTGTATTAGTCTACGAGTAAATGTAATTAGTGCTTTTTAATTCGTAGACTAATGTGATTGGGATATCAGATTAAAAATAAGTGTCTTATATAGCAACATTCAAATTTATGTAGATATAAATGTTTTGTGAATAACTGTATGATTTATCAAAATTATTAAGAAAAAGAAACATTAATAGGCTGGATGTTTATAAGACTTAGAATATGTCTGGTAGTGAAGTTCAGGAAGCAAGTTTCTTTCTGTTTTCAAGTCGTCAATTTACAGTATGTGTGCTTCTCAATGTTAATGCTTATATTGAACCTTTAAACTATTATATATCCATCCGATGAGTGTAGAATGAGACGACAGGTACTTTCTTGATTACACCGTTAGCCACATTCAAACAACAGTACGGCTATGTATCTAAAAGGCAGATATGATTGGATATTAGTTAATATTGACATACTTTTAACCTACCGCAGTTCTGTATTTGTTGTTCAAAATCTATTACATATTACTTTAGTTCATTAGCATCTCTCACCGTGAAACATCTTTTGAATTAATACCTCGAAAATATATAATCTTGTTTCCAGTTCAATATTTGATTAGTCTAAAATTAGTTTCCATGCCCATTTCTCTCAAGAATCTGGGTGTAAATGGTAAATAACAGAACCAAAGACCTTCTAGCCTAGTAAATTAAAAATGCGATGAAATCCATCACCTAGTTTCTACTAATAATAATTCCAAAATATTACAGCGAATATTTTTTTCAAAATATTTAAAATTAAGCAATAAATTTTGAACTCATGAATGCTAGGTTTGATTCATTTGGAGGTGATGTTATAACCCAAAACCGCTAATCAGTAGCAGCGAATTATCGATCGGACGAAGGACACATAAAATATTTGCGAGCAGCCTAGAGTCCTGATTAATCATGCTTGCCGCCTAGCCCAGCCAGTTAAGTCTAGAACACCAGTTTCGGCCTCTGCAATATGAATCATTATATTTCAAACATACTGGATTTATATACCAATGAAACAGACCACAACGTACCAATAAAATATGAAACAACATTTGTACAGGAATTAGCCAGATGTGGCTGTGAATGATGGAGGTAGTAATTAATATACTGGAAATAATTCAAGAATGGTAAAACGTATAATAATAGTTTATGGATCAAAATAAAGCTTATAATAAGAGGAATATGAATATACATAGTTTAGTTACTTAATAATTAAACAATAGAAATATACGTTAAGTATTGGTCCATTAGTAGATTCCAAAAGTTACCATTCATTATTCTTGTCGGGACATAACAGGTGACAACAAAAACCAATATACCATTCATGCTACTTCAAGATATCTATTTAATATGTAACAAAATTATCGACCGAGTCTCTTTAAACTAATTATTATTGGTGTGAAATTTAACAAAATCATAATTTTTATATAGTAGACCATCATTAGTAAAATCAAAATGTATTTGTGTCTTAACACATAATTATAATATAAAGTGTAATGAAAATATTGATAGCATAATTGTAATTAAAAAGCTATTCATTTTATATATTTTCAATACACATAGTGAATAACATAGTGGAACTGAGAAAACTAATGACAATTAGGACGGTTTTTTCTTCTTTCTTCCTTTTTCTTTCTACAAAATATTTTGACGAAACCAATTGTATTTGAAAACTTTGATATTACAGTGTAATTCACAGAGAATTTAAGATTAAAATGTTTGCTAGGCTAATCTGAGTTTAAGACTGAAATGTCACTTAAAACACACAATCAAACTATATTGAAATAAGGTAGTTTTGTTATCTTAAATATTTCTCCACAGAGCAACATTAAGCACATCTATCGATTATAAATCACATATCTGATACATAAGAACAGATGATTAGATAAGTAGGAATAAACATTAGACTGAGGACTAGAATAATAGACCCAATAAATCCCCGAGATACACTTGACTCATTTATCCAACCCAAACTGGAGATCTATAAACAAACCAAGACAACAGAATATTAAGCTGTCAACAAGCTAATTTGAAGCACAAAACATGGAATCAGTTTTATATATAAGGCAGGCCTTTATATTTGGTTCAGCCGGATATCTCTAAATTTGTACCTTAGCCAATCACCGATTACATTGTCCCATATATCATAGTTTGTTAACCAGAACTCTCATATAAGTTTATTTTTCAATCTTAAAACAGATTAGACATTTCGTTACGTGGATTGGTTTGTTTTGACTATATTAAAATAGTTGACTGTTCAAATTTAGTCTAGTATAAAGTAATGGGACAAGAAGAACACACGATGTAAATTTCTATTAATAGAATGTATGATTACCTAAGATCTGTTATAGAGCATAATCTTCCGTTTTAACGTTAAATGAAAACAATATTGTATGAAATTAAAACTGACTAATTTGTTATAATCATTAGAAAAATTTACTCGCAAATAAATAATCAACTTGATTTTATGTGAGATTTATCAAACCTAGTTGTTTTGTCTATTCTTGAAATGATCACTCATTCAACAACTGTTATACTAATTTGCCAATGGATACTTATGCATCATAATTATTTCATCTTAAAAAATAGAAAGCAAATGAGTGATGATAAAATGTAAAGTACACACATTTCCAAGATTCAAAGTTCAAAATATCAATTAGTATGATGTAAGATGGTTGGAATTTATTTTCTAAAGAAAGATAAATCACAAATATAGCTTTTCAAGTGAGCTTATATTAAGAGCTCTTCATATAGTCTACCTCAGCGTTTGAGCATTTTGATTTTATAGTCTAGAAGATTTATAAACATAATTCTTCTTAATGGTTCGAAGATATTTTGAATACTATAATTAACATATGTAAACGTGATCTATATATATATATATATATAAATGCTAAGATTGGACTTAATAGCTGAAATAAATTGAGTATTGATTAGAAAGTTAATAAATATCGGTGAATGCGCACTGTTGAAGAGTCTCATAATAGAACAAAACAGCCGTCCAGTGCTTCCAGGTCTTCAATTATGGTCTAGCTTACATCGACTCATGAATTCAACTATTAAAATATATTTTTATATTTCAATGAGTAGAAAAATTGTGTTGCTGTTCATTGAGATATAATAAAAAAATATATTATTATAAATGTAATCTGTTTTACACGTTTCTTACAATCATCACATGTGATAAATAAAATCAGAGCAAGAAACCACTGAAATCAATAGTGTTCAATTCATTGACTACAGTATTGGCTTTGTATTTGTAATTTCTCAGTCAAAACTACCGCTATTTTACCTTAGAATAAATTGCTTAAAGTCAAGAAAGCTACTGAAAATGAACTAATTAAACTCATCCTTTTGGAAATCGTTTTTTTTAATAGTTTCGTTAATTAAGTAACGTTGGATAGGTTACCCAAAACTTCGCAAACAAATTCAACATAATAAACTGTACGTAGGTTAGATTTTGATGAAGCTGAAAAAGTAAAACAGTTTATTCTCTAAGTGTTCATCTACTGATGGTATTTATCACATTGTATTAATACATTCGACCACCTTAATATGGAATTCATTATTGCTCTACTAATAATGATCTAGTTAGTAAGCATTTTTTTGTCTGAAGTAATACTGATATCAAACGTTTTGGACCACGTTAGTTATTCATTAGTAAAAATGAGAGGCTTTCACATTTTCTAAAAGTGTATAGGTTGTTCATTATGTTGTTTAAGAAAACAAACTGCATGTTACTTCAGATTCAATGATTCCTAAAATGAAAGATCTGTTAGATATGAATTAAGTAATGATTTATTGTTTAGACAAGTTTTAAGCTGACAAGAAAAATTCATTATTTGTGTACATTTCACCCATCTAATATCAGTCTTCCACTTATATTTATAGTCTAGTTTTCTTAAAACATTCGCATATCAGTAGCAACATTCAAGACTGTAAGAATCATTTCCTAGACTACAGAATCAAAATCCTCAAGTAGACTATATAGAAAGCTCTTAATTTAAGCCCACTTTAAAATCTATCTTTATTATTTCTGAATTTCTATATTATTATGTTTTATAAATAAAATGTATCCCATTTTTTATGATGAAAGCCACTCAACTTATTTCTTATTTTAATTTTATAGGATATTAAACATTATATGCAACCAACTCTTGTTCGACAAATCGTATATAATTGTGATCGATTTCAAACTGGTCCAATGCTAGGTGAAGTATACTTAATAACAGGTTAGTTTAAGTCTGTCCGGTAATGTTATTATTTCAATGACGAAAATATATATTGACAGCTATTTATTTATTCAAGTACATTTTACAAATTATTTTGGAATATGAAAACAAGTCCAAAAGATTAGAAGTACAGTATCCCACATGCTGTCCTATTTAATCAACTACCTGTAAAATATACCAATTATAGTTGTATATATTAATGCATTGTATTCATTATTTTCAGGTTCTTAACAGATCATTATTTAAGTATAACCAATGAAACATGTAATCTTTAATAATGAAAAATATGTCTTCACGGACATGATGTACCTTTATTTCGTCTTTATGAATGAGAGAATAAATGTATAAACTTCCAACCTATTCACTACATTTACAATACTTCAACTTATTGTTTATAATTTATTATTCTTAGGAGAAAACACAAAAAAAACTTTTGTTTATCTAAAGATTACTTTATTCACAATTAGAGAACCATTGAAAACGTTCATTTTCTGTTTCTCTTTTGTCTACCAGCGGTCTTAATAAATAATACAAAGTATTACATAGTGATACAAAACCAACAAATTAAATATGGGTTTCGATTTAATATTTTCTCATAAATACTTGATCTCAAAATGTACTCTATAATACGTTGAAATATGTTTTTAACCTTCTCCCCCCCCTTACCAGCATATCCATTCGACTTTTATTCATTATTATCACCTAATCAATGCTTCGTTTGAATTTCGTCTTTTTTCATTGCTTCTCTATTCATTAAACTAAGAATAATAAGGATTGTATGATATAGTGAGTTCATTTCATTTAGTACCGATTGAATCTTCTACTTACACACTGAAATATAGAAACAAATGAAGTTTTTTCCCGAATGTAATTTTCTGCTTAACATCTATAAAGCCATTTAGTTTAAAAGTGAAAAAAACAATTATAATTTCAATGGTTAAGATCATGAGTCAGTTGAAGGTAAACCACCATGGGAAATCTGGAAGCATTGGACGGCCGTTTTGTCCTATTGTGGGACTACTTAGCAGTGCACATCCACGATCTCGCCCTCCTCAGAGATTCGAACCCAAAACCTACTGGTTTCGCGCGCGAGCACTTAACCACTAGACCACTGAGCCGGCATCCAACAGTGTTATTATAATTATCAGATTACGGGTTGTGGAGTTTGTTAAGTTTTTGATTGAGACCATGAACCGATTGATGTTAGACAACCATTGAAAACATGGAAGGACTCAGCAGCGTGCACCCGCGATCCGACCCGGGGGACTCGAACCCAGGGCCTTCAGTATAATCTACTGCACCACTGAGCAGGCATCTAATGGTGTTAATGTTTAACCTCAACCAGTCCACAAAATTGCGCGACAATCTTCCATTGTACTGAGGTAGATACCTGTCTCTACCCGACACGGATTAGCTCCACTGGTCACGGCTTCTCACTAGAACACCGAGAATTTTTTCACGAAGCAAGTCACTAGTGACCACATGGTAATTATCAATTTAGGGGTTGTGGAGATTGTTAAGTTTTTGATTGAGATCCACGTTTCCAATGATGGTCTAACATCAATCGGTTCATGATCTCAATCAAAAACAATTATAATTACCTTCTATATTCATAAAATTTCATTTTGTAGACAAAATAATTCAGAATTAACTGGAACGTACAAAACCCAAAAGAAATATATGTAAACTATTATGATTACGGCAGACAAATAGTAAAATTAGCATTATCAACCATGTAACAATGATAAAGTCATTGTGATAACAATGTCAGTTGTCATAATCATAATAATGACGGTATGAGAAATAACGATTGCTTTGATATCTAAATTAATAAAACTTCAAACATTTAAATAACATAACTAGATCTAATTAGCACAAATAAAAGATGAACATTTGACTAAAACGAAGTTGTTATTGTGATCAAATGAAGATGAGGAATTTTTGTACAAGGGTCAAATATACTAAACGTACTTTGAATTTTGTAAATGAAAGACAGAGGGAAAAAAAGGTAAAGGTAACTGTAAATTAATAAATACGATAACTTTTGGTAAACTACAATATCTTTTCGGTTACATATAAATTAAGGATACGGCAATGATCCATCATTCATTATGGTTCCACGCTAATATAAATGATTTATAAATATAAACACAACGATTATCCAACAAGTGATGATGAGATCTGAATATATTCAATCTTAACAGTTTGAAATAATGACCGAGTGCTCAAATTCATGTCTTGAAAGACCTGGAAAATTAATTCACATAGTTTAGTTCATTAAATTTCTTCTGATCAAATCCTGTTCTGTAGACTAAAACAAATTTGCCAATGTAAATTATATATTCTCAGAGATCACTAATTATTTTATCTAAAATATGGTCAAAATAAATCACACTAGACAGCTATCATTTTCCATAAATATACAACCAACTTTTACCATTTTCTTCGTATAAAATAACATCAATTTTCGAAAAGACTAAAGTTTGGTAATATTTTCATATTTAAAAATATATGTGCAACTGAATATTTTGTATCTTGCAATGATACTAAAATCTATAGTGTTTGTACTTTTTGGCAAGCTTCCATCAGAAAAATGTTTAGGGTACAGTTGCTCCAACATTTAAAAGGGTAGTTGATTATTAACGTTTGTCAGTGATCATTGTCAAAAGTTGTAAAAACTGCTGACACTTATTCTCTTATAACCTCGGGTATATATATATAAGGGGGTAAAAGTGAAGAAAGGCATAACAATTTACGTTTTCAATAATTGTATTCTTTTTTTGATAATGAGATAAGGGAGATTGATTTATGTCAACTTTATGATCATTTTTACTTGGAATAATATTTATGAAAAAGAAACGTTGGTTGATAAAAGTATTTATAAAACATACTATTTCGACTATCAATTAATACACATCATTTTATGGCCACTCCATACATAAATAACCTTAACCATACATATTACAAAAATAGTTCAAATAATGTCACATACAAGAAATTGAGGAAATGTGAAATAGGCTGGTTGAAACAAATCACCTTAGAAAAAACAAACTGTTTTTATTAAGAAACAAGAAATTGCTTTTTTATTTGGAATTAAAGTTAATAACTATCAAGTGGTAAAAGATTTGAATCACTGAAATATATGCAACTTCTATTAAAGTAAAACTTATTAAATTTAAATGAAGTTAGTATTGATTGTTGAAAGCTATAAATTTCTTTGATGATTTTGATTATTACTCTGAAGAAGTCCAGACAAGTTAACTGGACGAAACGTTGGAATTATTTAAATTTCAATCGCTGAGATTATTTCAAATATAATTTTTACATATAATGACTTCCCTATACTCGACGCCCAATTTTTGTCAAACTATTCGTTTTAATCTTGACAAATATTCATATAAATGAAGTTAGTACTGTTTTATTGAACAATAATTAAAGAGAATAAATTATCCCATTTCCATCCCTTACTAATTGCTATGCATGGATTATGTGATAGGATTTTGTGTCTTACAACAAGTAACTTAAAATTGTATAAATTTTACTTCATTTCTATATATTGTAATTAAAGCGTATTGAGACTTTCAAAGTCAAAATAATTTAATTAGATAATGACAATTAATTTAATGTTAATAATATTTGCGAAACATACATTTTTGATTCATTTGATGCTCATATAATACACAGGTTAGTATAATTCATTCTGATTAAAAAGAAAAAACTTAATGATCCGCTTTTCCAAAAAGAACAGATTATTTTTTGATCTGAACGGATAGAAATAAAAGTGAGATAAGACTTTACACAAGTATGTTTTGTCAAAAAACCTAGAAAACCATAAAGCGAAGAAGATGAAACAGTGGACTTATTTCTACTTAGGAAGGTGTTCAATGGTTTATAAAGGTAACGAACCCATAGATATCTAAGAATAAGGTCAAGCGCTCGCGCGTGAAAAAAGTAGGTCCTGGGTTCGAATCTCGCGAGGAGCGAAATCGTGGATGCACACTGCTGAGGAGTCCCATACCGGGACGAAACGGCCGTAAATTGCTTCTAGGTTGACTCATGGTTTCAACTATTGAAATTTCTAAAAAAATCTCCACGAAACTCCTAAATATATTATCACTTATTATTTACTTACTTACGCCTGTTACTCCCAATGGAGCATAGGCCATCGACCAGCATTCTCCAACCCACTCTATCCTGGGCCTCCTTTTCTAATTCCATCCAATTCTTGTTCATTTTTCTCATGTCTATCTCCATTTCTCGGCGTAATGTGTTCTTTGGTCTTCCTCTTTTCCTTTGGCCTTCAGGATTCCATGTGAGGGCTTGTCTTGTGACGCAGTTGTGTGCTTGTCTCAATGTGTTTCCTATCCACTTCCAGCGCTTCTTCCTCATTTCTTCCTCCTCTGGAATCTGCTTTTTCCACTCCCACAGTGTCCGGCCAACAGATCCGAAGTACTTAGCGTAGACAACTTTTAATAAACACTTGTATCTTCTGGATGATGGCTTTCGTAGTTTTCCAGGTTTCCGCCCCATACAGTAGAAACGTTTTGACATTTGTATTGAAAATCCTGACTTTTGTGTTAGTTGACAGTTGTTTTGAGTTCCAGATGTTCTTCAGTTGTAAATATGCTGCTCTTGCTTTACCCATATTATCGTTTAATACTCAGTATTGTGTGTTGTTTCTTTTATTGTTTAGTATCCAAATGAACAAAATTATATTGTTTTACGTATATTACATGTATAAAGAAATGGCTAACTATTAAATTTAGATATGATTATTTTTAAGTAAACATAACACAGCTTCTATTGTTCAGTGTTTAAAACTGACCATTAGGTTGATAGTATAGTAAAACATTCATATCAGTAATGCTGTAATACAGATAGAAAAAAGAAACTTTTGAACGAAAAGGAAATAATTATCAGTAAAGGGTTGCGAAGATTGTTGAGTTTAGATTGATATTATGAAGGAATCAATGTTAGTCCACCACTGAAAACCTGGAAGC